CGCTATTACTGAGGGGCTGCTTTTCATCCTGAGCTTCGTCTTCATATTGTGGGAGGATATACAAACATAGCGCTTAGGAAGCAAGAAAATCAGAAGAAAATAAAAATGAATGAAAGTGTTGCTAAAGCTTTTCTGCCAAATAACTGTGGCCTTGTTTTATTACTCTTCGTCCTATTCATCCGCCCTCGTTCTGTTCTGAAAACTATGCAGTGTTGACCAGAGGTCATCTTCAGGTGAGTTTCTTGGAAATTCGAAAATTGTTACAAATCATTATACTATCAAAAAAATTGAGGATATTATGAGAACTAAGGGATGCACTTGATTATCGAGACCAAAGTGTACAATAGGGAGAAGCTTTTCAGGGAACACAAGGATCATCAGCATGGCGAGCAGCTGTAACTATGAGCATCCTCACTATCCCTTCATTCGCATTTTGGTCAGTTTATTATAATACGATAAAGGAATAAAACACTCACCTTCAATGAATCCTTTTTTGGTGTTTCCATTTTTTTGGCTCTCTTAGGTTGTCCCATAAAAGTGTCGCTTTTTTTCAAACAGAAAATTTTCCTTCTAAATCCCCAAGTTTTCACACAGTCCTATACACCATTCAAAGAGAATTGTCTGCTCTATAAGATATCCTGTTCTTTCTTCCACATTCATTGCAGGGTTGGCCTGAATTTTAGGCCTGCAAAATGGGAGGTCCAGTTGACGAAAAATGCAAAACCGACAACTAGCTCTAACTCTATGTTCCCTAGGAGGAATCAGTTAATGATTTAGTCACAACCTCTTCTGAACATTCCACTATTAGGTTTCCCAACAAGTCGCGTCGTTCCATTTCCAGACCTGGTTTTTCAACCAGAACTCGACGGTCAAGCACCATTACCTGAGATCTAGGTCGAAATTTTTTTTAGCCGAGACATTGAAAAACTAGTAGAATTTAAAGAACAAGTCATGACTAAGTTAGGAATGTACGCCTGGTTGATTTTCTCATCTTCTCAGGATAATTTTTTTCAAAGAAATGCGGTCACTTTCGTGGATAAGCACCTTACTCCTAAACACCTAAAATTCGAGCTAATTCCTAACAAACATAAAACAAAACAAATGAGCGAATAGAGCAGAAGAAGTGCTCACAAAAGATACACCAGTTGATATAAAACAATAGCGTTTCAGAGGAAGAATTTCGTTTTAAAATTCCCTATGACTTATCGATCAGCCAGAAAACCCAAATTCGAAGAGAAACACGGCAAGGCTTTTCCGAAAGCGTAATATACAGAAGAGGTCATGAGATAAGTAGAGGGTACATCATTGATTGATTTCTCCCAAGGGAAAATAAAGTTAGAGCTAGTTGTCGGTTTGGTCAATTTTTGTCGGCTGGACCTCCCATTTCGCAGGCCTAAAATTTGAAAACCCTGGAAGATGTGGAAGGGAAACATAGCATTTTGTAGAGCAGACAATTCTCTTTCGAATGGTATATGACTCGATGTAAAAGCCCGAGGATTCAGAAGAAAATTTTTGCTTAAAAAAACCGACACTATTCATGGGACAACCTAAAATTTTCTTCGGGATCGCAGTGGCATTTGATTAGTACGCTATGGCCCACGCAAGAGCCTGATGATGTTATGACATAGAAGTCGCTGTTTTTACCCTAGTAGTTTTTAATTGTTCTGTTTATCCAAAGCAGGAAAAAGAGAGGACTCGGTAAATCAGAGCGATTTTCCATCCGAAAAGTAAGGCGCGGCGAAGCTACACCGCTTCCGTTCTACACTATGACATCTACTCCTCACTTCAATAATTTTTAAACTATGTTTTTAAATCGCCACACATAATTTCATCGGTTTCAACTATCTCTACGAATGAGTCAGACTCCACCTTTATTTGACAAAAAAACAACCCTCACTAAGCTTTACGATGTTTTGACATAGTCATCGCATTCTTGCAGACGTTTTGAAGTAGAAATTCAGGTCTTCATGCCGTAGTGATAAACTTCTTTTGATGAAAATCCTCTTGGCGAGTATATGTTGTAAAATAACGAGATTGGTGGAAGGGCAAGTGGCCGCCGTTACCATCCATAAGGTTCGAGGATCAAATCCTTGATCGTATCCTATTTGTTACAAGCCTACGATCTCTCCGCGGTCGACTGTTGGATATCAGACTCATCTGGGAAAATGAAAAACACTGAAATATTGACTTCTTTCGTTTTGCCTTTTTGCTCAGGATCCGAGTCCCGCCCAGGGCGAAAGTCATGCTCATAACGCAGTATTATTGTGATACTCTGAAATGTACTTCGGCGGACCTCTGCTTTCCTTGTACTGGCCAGAACACATTCGAAATCGACTTCACCTAATTCTCAAAAGAAAGAATGCGTGGCGCATGCTTAAAAGGGATAGATCTATGCCGCACGCCTTATCGTAGTCCTTTGTGTTTTGGGGAATTTCGTTTGAGTGAATGTTCCCTCTCAATTTCCAGGTGTCTGTTGATGCGCGGTCCAGCAGCTCTCGCCTACCAGCTTGGTTTCTCACTAGCAATAGTGGTGGTATTCTCGTCTGTGGCCGGAATACTTCACTATGTACCGTCACCGAGTTTATTCGCTTACACTCAGCTTCGCTTCCTTTCCTCAAAATGTGAGTAATATTTTAGATAGTTCAGAACGTGCAAAACACCACTAGCCATGTTTTGCTGATAACACTGTGGTCACCTGAATTTCGCCTTTCATAAGCCTATGTAACCACTCTCTCCTCTCGAAATTTTTCTTTTGTTAGTTTTTGGAAGCTTGAACCAGTTGAGCTGTTATCGAAGATACGGGGGCACTGTTGTGGCAATGCTTTTTAGACCGCGTGAAACAAACCGACGTGAAACTCTCCTTTTTGTCAAGAACAAGACTAAGCTTCAGGTGGGGGATGGAAGACTTCAGATTGCATGAGCAATTTTTTCGTTCCCCTGTTTGCCTGCCCACCGGGCTTAGTCTTAAAAGTCCCCCCGTCGCCCAATTGAAAGAAGTTTTGGCATGAGGAAACTGAGAATTAGGAGTGCAACGCCAGGTTGTAGCACACCCCGACTCAAGCAGCGTGTGGTAGCTTACAAGGGAGGTCGTTCAGGGTGTGCCAAGCTTTTTCAAAATGGTTTCTTGCATGACATTGGGGCACATATGGGGACCACAGAAGCATGGTTCATTTTTCCTGAACGGCTCTCTGAATACCAGAAAAGGGGTCCCTAGTTCGATTCCTCGTGGTGACAATTTTTGCATTTCGAGTTGACGTTTCAAAATTCGCGCAAAATGGAGTTAGCATGAATAATTAGTACCAAATTCATGATTAGGAACGTCAGTAACCCTTACAAATAGACTTTGATTGAAAAACTGGTGAAAAAGGTGTGACTAGGGGACCCCTTTTCTGGTATTCAGAGGGCCGTTCAGGAAAAATTAACCATGGTTCTGTGGTTCCCGCATGTGCCTCTATATCATGCAAAAGACCGTTTTGAAAAAAGCTTGGCACCCTGAAAGACCTTCCGGTGAAACTCCAGTTCGGGGGGGCCACTCCATTTTTTCTCCAATACTCAAGATAAGGATTAGAGGGCTCACGACACGTAATCGACTCATTTAAAGTAGACTTCTGATAAATATTGGTGTAATGGGTGAGAAACCCTGAAACGTTTTCACATTTCCGCCTGCCATGACCCAAGGGAACGGTCCTGGACCAGGAGAAAGGACACCTCCGCAAAGGGCTAAGGGTGCAGGAGCTCCAGGGTGGATCACCTGTGCAGAAAAGTGGATGGGATGTGGGCAGGTAGTGTGGAATGTAGGACATCCACCGGTCCTTATCAAAAGTACGCTCGAAATGAGTCGTTCACTTATTATCTTATCCGTAGTGTTCGATAGCCCAAAGAACTGCTCTCTAGTACTACGGATAAGATAGCAATGGAGTGGCCCCCCCGAACTGGAGTTTCACCGTCTTCGCTGTTAGGGTGGACCCTGTTGTCAATTAACATGTAAGGTCATGGCATATAAGTAAAGCCGTAATGGTTCCTATGCAATTATACAGAAGGAAACTGGATAAATAGTACTAATGGCAATCAGTTTCCCACAATATATTGACTTGGCGTGTGCTTTTGTAACATAAAGCATATTGGGGACAGTGTATGTCCGCAATCACTGCTGTCCGTTCGGAAGCTTTCTGTCTAAAAGGATGGTTTCAGTGCGATTGGCGCTATCGGCGCTTCAGACGATCGTGACGGCGCTTTGTATCGTGCTCGTGCTTTTGCATTCCTCATCGTTGCTCGCTTCTGTGTCGCTGTTCTCCGTTTGCCTTTGTATAGCAATGATGGGATTTTTTCCACTATTTGGTATAGTATTCGCTGGCTACTCCAGCATCATGACATTCACGCTCATCTTGAACATGTTTGTGGAGTCTTTTTTTCACAAAATTCCTTTTTTTTATATCAGGGATTGGATCAAAGAATTGTGTCGTTGCACAGTGACAGAAACATCTGGATTGCCTATGCGGTACACAATAAAACTTTTAATTGTTTCAAGTCTTACGGTTTCCTACACAAAAAGCCCAGATCATTTTGTATTGCTGTGAAATCCTTGTTTTATTATACAATCTCTTTCAATGCTCATAATGTCATAATAACCACAGAGTGTTTAGCGTACTGCGATGATTACATTGAAGATTCGTTTTTTGGTTCAAAGGCAGCTCTTACGATGAAAAGGCAGCCCATTAAAAATTTCTGGTAGAGGTGGTCAGTGGTGCAAGGATGAAGAAAAAGCCATGAAAAAACGGCCTAAGACCGGAGAAAATGGACCCCTTCAGTTGTTTTTTCCGCCTCGATGCGGCTCTCAACGGTGCTGCCTTCTTCAACGCTAACGTTCTCTCTGCTAAACGGTTAAGGCAGACAGCGAGAGGATGGGCGTGCCGCGGCGCGAGTAGCACGGGATGGCTCGCTAGGCCGCTGGTGGCATACGCTTCTATGCGAGGTGCATATAGGGCCCGTCTGACGTTCTTGACTAGCTATATTTTCTTCTTCAAAACTGTCCTTAACGGGCGAAACCTCTTTCAAATCGCTGACTACTCAAAAAAAGGATATTTGTTTTGTTTGTACCCATGATCGCCTTTCGGTCCTTTTTTCTCCGCAGAGATTGTCGTTGTTGACGAATGTTTCCCAGCAAAATATTCCGTAAATGTCCTTCTATAAGTGTACGCAGGCAACCCTTCACTGCCCTCACCATCTTCAGAATATGACGTCATCTGTCATCGTCGTCAAGCTCAAGGAGGCCTACCGTAACTGCTTCAGCCTGAAGCTCTTACATAATTTCGTGAATCAATGTTGGATAGTTCTAGAGACATTAGCTCCCACTATGCAAACCCCTTCGAAACTCGCTTTTCAGTAAAGGTCGTTATGGTACACGATCCTTCGAAGACCCCATTGAGCTCGACCAGTGCACCATTTACAGGGCAAATTTTTCTGGTGATGCCCACGTAGGTGGCCGCTATGAAGATTTTCTTATGTAATGAAACGTGCTCTTCAATTCTATTGTTGGGAACCATTCGCTAAGAATGAGTATAGTTGTGATCAGATTACAAACCTGAATGTGGAACATAATGTATGCTATACGAAGTTATTACGGCATCTCTAAAATCGTCTTGCGGAGCAAGCATAGGCACTGTTGAATTGATGAATAAAAAAATAATAGTTGTAAATAAAACTGCAATTATCGGTAGATACAGCAGTAAAATTTCTCTTATTAATTTTTTTTATTTATTCCCCATATTTTGGGCGGAAGTGGTGTAGTGACAAGTGGCGCGCTCACCACGCGAGCGGTCCGGGGATCAAATCCTGGGTCGTGAGTCGCCCGGGCCAACCAAGCCTTCCATCCCTCCGGGGTCGGTTAATTGGTACCAGACTTGTCTGGGAGGATAAAAACACTGACTTGAACATCGGCTGGCCCCCGCAAGTCATTGTATAGGCCACATCGCATTCAAACGCCACTACGAATGTACAAATGGAAGTAGAATGCGTGCCGCATCCCAAAAAGGGATTGATCAACGGCAAATGCTTTATCCTTTATCCTTCGAAGTCATAAGCTATTTCAGTGTATACTATTTGGAGCCGGTACACTTCTTATTTTCGGAATCAAAGACGTCGCATCATTTCGTGAGATTGTGCCGTTCGAGTTCTCGCTCTCCGACAGTGTTATTTCACTTTGTGTCGGATTTGTCGTCTCTCTTTATCAGCTCACTTCAAGCCCCCTTCTCTACCAGGTTAAAAATAATTCACTTTGTTGGAAACAACATATTTCTTAATTTTTTTCTCTGAAATTATGAAAACACCAAAAACTAAGTGTTCAAAATGCCATACCGCTCAATTTTGAATTCAAAATCTTTTAGCAGAGAAGCGAATGAAGCAGTTTCAGTCAATGATACCATTAAGGTTTCCTCACATCACAGGCCTTTTTTGTGACCAATCATTTCAGGCGTATTTTCCTATTCCAACACTTTACAAGCTACGGCTCACATTGGCGTTTCATGGTGTTTTCCAGCTATTTTCTTCAATTCTTGTCTTTCTAACAATTTCGCTCTTCTTCGCTTTTGTGGAAAAGCGATGTACACTTCTGTACTCCTACAGGACGTTTTTCTTATTCGCAAAGGTGAGCTTTTTGTATTGTTCGGTAGATGTGGGAGCGTTTAGGTTTGATTTTCCAGTGGACGTAGAGAGCTAGGAAATGCAGAATTGACGGCGATTGTAGTACTGCCTGTAGTCAGGGTGGAACTGAACTTGTTTACCGGAGTACTTCCTTACCCTCCTTCCAGACTCAGTCAACACTCAAGTGAAATTCGCTTTGCGGCTTCATCTCTCTTTTTGGCTCAACTCACGTTGACATTGTTCCTTCAACAACAAGTTTTGGTTCTTTCTTTCTTCTGTGTTTTAGCCTCAAATTTGTTCGCGCTTTCGTAATTAAGGGCGGTTCACGATGGAAAGACAACCACTAGAAATTAAGGTGGAGGTCAGTGATGCAGGGAGAAAGAAGAGCTTTAGAAGAAAATCCTAGAACCTGAGGGATGAGACCCTTTTTGCTCGTTGATTTGCCGTTACGTGCTGCCCTCGTCAACGTTAACGCTCTCTCTGCAAGGCGGTTAGAGCCAGACGGAGAGGGATCGGCGGGCAGCGGCGATAGCGGCGCGCGGTGTCGGCTGTCTGGATCGGCGGAGGCATATCGTTCGCTGCGAATTGCATGTCAGTCTGCATAGAGGGTCCGTCCTTCACTGAATGAATTTCCCTTTCTTCAACCTTTGCTAGTCGTGCCACAGAACCTACATACTAACCCTCGTGGAATTGAATGCTCTCGATCTGGTAAGCCACTGCGTATTCACCCTTGTCTAGTATAAATTTTTTGATGAGATGATAGGTGATTTCATTACAAGGATGCTGAAGTTATGGTCAAACGTTACAATATCACACAATTCACAGTGGTGCTTACCGGTTGCATGGCGCATTCCGTATAAATCTGCAGCGTAGAGCATCCACTGTGTTACTCGCTGGCACAGATTCAGCAATCAAAATGGTAGCATGCGCATTTTGAAGCCAGATACATCACGAAAACGTCAGCTTTGAGCTTTCAAAAAATTCCGCTTGGGGTCCCAAGCCTCGTAAAGGTATGACATACCATTAATGGAGGTAACGTAGTAGAATAATAATTGCTTGTAGGACCCATTATATCTGCTATTTGCCATGGAGTGGAAAAATTTGGTGCACCTGATTGTTATTTACGTTTCCTTGAAAATTTGCATTTTGCAGTCATTCTAATATTTTCAGCACACCGTACCTCATCCAGCGTTGGCATACGCGGTAATCGTCTCGCTTCTGACGGTTTTCATGTTTTGTATCCAGTGGCTCTATGTATGCATTACGACACATGTCTGGGAAGAATTCATCAAGGTAAGCACTTGTTCGAGGGCGGAAGTGTAGTGGCAAGTGGCGCGCTCACCACGCGAGCGGTCCGGGGATCAAATCCTGGGTCGTGAGTCGCCCGGGCCAACCAAGCCTTCCATCCCTCCGGGGTCGGTTAATTGGTACCAGACTTGTCTGGGAGGATAAAAACACTGACTTGTACATCGGCTGGCCCCCGCAAGTCATTGTATAGGCCACATCGCATTCAAACGCCACTAATGCTGAAAATAAAGTTAGAATGGCACGCCCCCATTCGAAAAAGGATTATCAACGGCCAAACTGCCTTATCTTTTATCCTTCAGGCAACATGTTCACATTTCGATTGCGCCATAAATTTACCTGGAAATTGTACCAACGTAGGTGTGAGGCTTTTTCGGAAAGGCAACGCGCATTTTGCGGGATAATCTTGTGGGAAAATGAATAAGTCGTTCAGAACGATCATCAAACCACCTATAGGCCTTTCTACCAATGACGATATTTCCCGCTCTACCTCCCAGCCCACTGCTATCCCTTGGTTTCTTTGATAATGCTACATTGTAAGAAGAATTCAGCATGATAATCTTATTCCATGCATCGACTGACTGCTTAGAATATTTTTTGGTAGCTAAGGTCAATTTCATTTTTTTGCAATTTCAGAGGTTCCCACGTCGGTGCATTCAACACTTTTTTTACAGGGTCATCTAAGAGAGCTTGGCACTATGAAACAACTGTGCTGTGTACAGGTAACCAAATGAACATCTTACCTAATCCATACATAACGAATTGAGTGAGAGGTAAAAGAGAGGTAAAATAGCTCTGAGGGAAGGGGGGCTATGATGAACAGTCCCTTGTGCTCTGTGGCTTTAAGGAGAAGGATGAAGATGAAGACAAGGGCTGATAATGCTGGACAAAAAAGGTTTCATAACACTGCGTGAACTAACTTTCAAAAGGAATGCCTGAAATCAGCTCCCAACCATCACCGTTTCGACTGAAGCAAACGTTCTGTGCTACAGCAGAAGACCTTAGAAAGCTGCGAAAAACCTCAAAGAACTAGAATTAACTTAGTTTCCAATTTGTTTTATTTTCTCAACGGCTGCTCTTCATCACTTTTGGCGACGCAACTTACTGTAAAGTAGAACTGACCTATGAAAGCATCATTTCGGAAAAACAAAAAAAATTGCCTAGAATAAAAATGGGCGCGGGGTCCGCGTTTTATTCTAGGCAAATTTTCTCTCTATTTGCATCTGTACTATGGGGATTTCGCGTTCATTGGGAAGTTACTATTTTCAGTCACTCCTGCTCATCACTTGCGCTGTTTCCGTATCAGTGGTGTCGGTGATACGACTTCTGCAGTTACCGTATGATTTGCTGACACCGTTCTCAGTGCTGGTAATCTTGTAAGTTTGCTTTTTTTGAGCTCTGCTCAATATTTTCAATCTACCTACAATCAAATCTGGAATATTCCCATAAAACTGAGTTAACTTGTCCAAAAATCTTAAGCCTCTATACTGCCGAATGTAGATATCTAAGTAACTTATTGTTATTGCGATGGGTATGACCGAAATTTCGTGCATCCTTGTGACAAGGAAGGATCCTAGTCCGCCAGGGCCATTGAAAACTGATGTATATTTCTGGGTGGTCCTTCAAACGCTGATTTCAAATCTGCTAAACGTTGCTCGGAGCGGAGTTATGAAGCAAAACAGCGCTACGGAGTGGCCGGGACTCACGGCCAAGACGTCATAGGATCGGCCACTTACTGTTTTCTGTGTTACTCTCTTTGAGTATACAGCTAAGTAGACTGTCAAAAGCCGTTTCAGCTGTTCCTGCCAAAAAAGCAAGATAGAAAATACGGCAAGGGGTTAATCCCACGGCGTGTAGACGGGAGTACCGACCACTACATATAGTAGCGCTGTTTTGTCCGTTCAGAGGGTTGCTTAGCAGGGTTGGATTGTCGAGCTAGGATATTTTTCTTGTGGGGATTGTTATAGATGCCGTTCCTACTGTTTTCAGAACAATTTATACTGTACATATGCTTCAGTTTCAGCTCCCTTTGTTTCCTGAAATCCCCGAAATTAGCGAATTTCAGATTTTTCCACGTAACCAATTTTGAAATGCAAGAAAGTGGGCTAAATCAAATTGTTCTGCTTGACTGGACACTTGATATGATTAACCCATACCTTCTTTGAAGGGCGGTGTTAGAGCTCCAGCTCAGTCGCCACTATCAACGTGCACACCGGTATAAAGAACGAGCTAAAGCAACGGAATCTAGCTACACATATGGTTATGACAATTCTTATTGCCGCGGGTCGAAAAACCTAAGGGGTGGCACTCCACTCAGCCACTTGTTCTCACCGTGCGGTCTGTCTGCTTCCCAAAAACCTCTAATAGCTATGGGCAGTAAGTTGCTCGACACGTCTATAACGTATAAGGTGGCGCGCTTGGTTCCCGGCTTCTTTTCAGTGTGAATTCATGGACCTCCTACGAAAAAGAAGTGTGCCCTTCGAAAATTGTAAAAAACCTGGCTACAAGTAGAGCAAAAATTTTCTGACAGAGCATTTACTGGCCAGCTGGAGTTCAGGATCATCTGATGGATATTTATCCTCTCAACGAGCCTTTGAGCTAGCCAATAGAGGAGTTCTGGTTCGGTATGACCCGTACTCTAGACTGGGATGGTGTAGCGACCACAGGCACCGGCTGAAAGAGGAAACCTCGATTCCAAACGAGATGTTGCATATAATGCTCGAAGGCAACTCTATATACAATACCGCTACTAATTTTTGTTCAATCGACGGTTTGCGACGGTCGGAAATCCGTCGCAACCGTCGCCTCGCCATAACTCCTGAAAAATGGCTTACGCGGCCTGAAAATTATACCAATTGATAGCTCTGCTCACGACCAATTCAATGGTGCGTAAAAATCCCCATTTACTTCACTTTTTCGACTTCATTTTAGAGGAATTCATCAAATTACCTGAGGCCAGTCGCTCATTAGCGAGCGTCGCTCGCTATAATTATAACCAGCGGGGAATAGATAAGGGAATAGATGTATATAGTCGATTCAGGGCCGAAGTTGAATCCATAGCGCATACTACATATACACGGGTTGAGTGGAATACTGGGTGGTCTATCCTTCTTTGATCGGCTAAATGACATCATCCATATTTCATAAAAGGAAGCGGTTACGATAAATTCAAGAAGGGTTCAGTGTGACGTGGTGGTGCTCAATGGTACGCCAGTAGCGAAAAAAGCAGAAAAATCCGTCAAGAAAACGCAAAACGGGACCCCTTTTTTGGCCGTTGGTTTCACTCATGAACAGGTAACAGCTCAGAAAGTGGACGTATGAACGAGTTCACCGCAACGCGTTTGATGGCACCATGCCAAAGTACGCTTTAATCGAGACTCCATTTGCGCCGCTGCTGGTCACGCAGCTCGTCCAAATCAACAAGTAAACTAGTGGGCGATCGCTTGCTGGGGGCGGAGCGCTTGCGAGGTCCTGCTCAGCAACCACAGCACCTTTCGCCGTGGAAGCGCCACACATCGCTTCCTTGGCAGCCAAGTAATTGCTCCGTGTGGCGCAGGTTCTCCCCCGATGCGAAAATTTCTTATCGTAATCGCTTCCTTTACCTTGCGCGTACAATTGAACTGAGAATGACTTTGGACTGATGCCGTTATCATTTTCATTGAAACAACAACCCAAGGTCAGATTGGTGCGGTAACAGCGGTCGATGATAAAAGTGTGTAGACCGAGCTGACTGACATTGAAAAAATTAAAGGTGACCGTCTATGAAGCCCTTAACAAAAACCCCTTCTCGCCCACCTCGGGATGAGGAATGGACGTGCCCAGATTTGTCCAAAGAACATGGCCGCATCAGGGTGATGCCTACTACATAGCTATTGAATCTATAGGCTATTTTACCCACTACGCCGTAATCCACGTTGTGGGCGATTTCCACAGCTAGCAATGGGCGGTCAACCAAAAGACAGACAAATCTAACTTTCATCTATCCAACGTCTTATAGCGTTTTTGAACAGCGCTCTTTGCTCCAACAACACTTCATACCTTCTCGACTAGGGCCCACGCATTTCCTCACCTACGAATAGTAGCAATCTTATGGGCCCATCTGAGATGCTGCGTTAACACCGATCTATTTAGTGTTTATGTACCGTAATTTCAGAACCTTATGCGGTGGTATGTGTGGAGTTTTTATGTGTGGATACTTCTTGCCATTCTGCAATTCAAAAGGTCTGTGGTAAACTTTACTTCGCTTGCAATCAAGGCGGAGTTTTGGAAAGATTCAAGCCTTTCTCTTTT